AAAGAGATGTTAAGAGCTGATAACACCCCCACTGAGGTAATTTTATATAAATCACTCTTTAAATTAAATTTATATTTTAAATTTATATTAAATTTATAAATTTTATATTCTCTATTTAATTTTTTTAGGTTATAAATTACCTCAAACATCAAATGAAGGAAGGTTGTTGGCAAGAATCGGACTTTGTGAAGGTCGTATGGGAATCAATGATGCAAGCTGTTGACTGGGGTTCTCGTGCTGAACAAATCGAAGCACAAGCATTACGTCAAGTTAAAGTAAGTAATATTTAAGTGATTAATTAATCTTACAAATATTAATCATTATAGACAATTATAGACAATAAAATTAATTACCTTCTGTTTTGTTAGCAATGTTCCACTATTCTTGGTGCATTTTCAACTAATCCGAAAACTGAACTTGCACTTGTACAAAAAGTTCAAACTTATTGTTACGAAGATACAAAATTGATGAAACATTTTCGTCAAATTGTACAAATTCTATACAACGAAGATGTTGTCTCAGAAAGTGCTATTTTATATTGGTTTGAAAAAGGTGCTGTAAACAGTGGCAAGACAGTATTTTTGAAACAAATGGAGCCTTTTGTACAATGGCTTAAAACCGTCGATAGTGAGTCTGAAGAAGACTAAAAAAATGGTCGGTTTTCTTTGTAAACTTGTTTAAAATTACAATGTTTTTTACAGTTTTGTCTTTTTTATGTATTAGAAATCAAATTTATTTACTTTTCATAAAGAATTGCATAATAATATAGATGTTTCTAATTTAACGGTTATTTAATAGTTAACAGTGAATTATTTACGCTTCAACTGCTTCCTATGTTTATGTACTATTTGATACGCCGACATATAGTCGAAACATGTTGACAAGCGTAGGGCGAGTTTTTTCAAGTTTTGTGATTTTATGGATTTATGTATTTACTGTATTACATATGTAATTGTCATGTAGTTGAACTATGATATTTGTTTTTATATAAAGTTCTTTAAAGTACGCAAAAAAAAAAAAGAGGGACTAAGAAATTAAAATTTTAGTCCTTTTATCATGCTCCAACCTCAAATAATTTAATTCTTTGCAGAGGTCCTCAGTACGTATCGTTATTCGCACGTATGGACATATAATCGATTATATAATTTAACAAAATTTTATTTACACGTAATAATTAGCTGACTATGTTGCTATTTGATTACTGCCTTACGGTATTTTATGGTTTGTGAGTTGATAGTTAATTTTCGTAGATTTTACTTATTGCGGTTTGCAAAAAAATGTGAAATTTGCAGATGATTTCTGATTGCCGATTTCTTTATTGTAATGAATATATATATATATATATTCCAATAAAAAAAGTTATACTAAAGTTCCTTAGCAATGCAGCTTTTAAATTTTCTTGCTTATCATGCACTAGTAAATTTTACCGGGCTAGAAAAAAACAAAATTTAATATTACAAAATCAAGTTCCTTACAACATGAAGATATGCAAAATATATTCTACAAGAGATACTAAATCAAACTATGTTACAAAATTATGAATCTACAACTTTTTTTTTCTGCAAAAAATGTTAAAGAAATCGGCAATCAGAATCAGAAATCATCGATTTCGGTTTTTTTTTTTTGATCTGCAAATTTCACATTTTTTTGCAAACTGCAATAAATATAGTACATACAGGCAATATATTTATTTGCTGTTTTAGGTTACTAAAGTATAAAAAGTGTTGCTAGATAATATAAAAATATTTTTATTGTAGGATTTAATACTATATATACGTAAATATATATACAGTATATCATTTTACCGTTAAAGGTTAAAGTGCAGTTATACGTAGCTATTGAATCTGGATATTAAGCCTCTTTGTTTAGTTTAGTTTAATCTAATGAATTGAAAAGCATTGATTATTGATTTATAATATTATAAAACATTCGTCTAATTGAATAATTCGAGTCAATTGCCAGGTATATATATAACTAATTTATACAATTTTAAGTATTTTTTTCAAAATGTTTATTATTATTATTATTATTATTATTATTTATTTATTTATTTATTTATTTTTTTT